CAAAAAGAGTTTTCTTCTCCAACCTCTGTGCGGAATGACCCAAAAAATGACGGTCTGTTGAGCGAAATATTTAATGAGTTGAGTTTAGTGGGAACAAAATGTATGTTTACCTTTCTTAATATTACGTAAAATATTTCTCTAGCTTAATATTTGTTTAATATTTGTATTTACTTTAAATTTTCAGCAAGTAAACCAGATCACCTTGACCATCGTCGTTTATCTTCTCGTTCTTCAGGAGGTTTTAGAAATTTAATCTCAAACAAAAAGGATCTTCACGATACAAGTTCATCAACAAGTAACGATCGATCTAATAACTCTAATTTGAAATTAAAAAAACAATTGGATAGCGATGATTCTGAAACTGAAAATGAAAGTGAAAGTGAATCTAGCGATAGTGAATCAAGTGATGATAATCGTTACATAAAAAAATCAAAAAAACCAAAGAAATTAATGCAAAAAAATAAAAAGCAATTAAAAGATAGTAGTGAGAGTAGTGATAGTAGTGATGATGACACTTCAGATGTTTCCGATCCAAACGTTAAGAGAAATGTAACAAAGAGTCCCATCCCTAATGTTAACGGTGGAAATCCTCTCGTTCCTCTCGTTCATTCTAGAAATGAGGTCTCCCAAAAAATTGTAATTGTGGAAGATTGGGTTCAAGACGTGAATCCAAGTGATGGCGCAAATAATATTCTTGATAGGATGAAGGATAGACATCGAGTTGAAGCGAGAGCAATGCATATGTCTCCACCACAACAATATCATTTGTATGGTTATCCAGATGATGATAGATTTGATCGTAATGGAAGATATGAAAGAGACTATCCTGACCACGATTATCGTGAGAGAGATAGATATCCAAGAGATGATTATAGATATCCGAGAGATGATTATAGAGATCCAAGAGATGATTATAGATATCCGAGAGATGATTATAGAGATCCAAGAGATGATTATAGGGATCCAAGAGATGATTATAGGGATCCAAGAGATGATTATAGGCGTCCAATAAATGGTTCTCATACTTCTTCCATTTCTTCAAAATCTAGTTCACATAGTGATCGCGCTAATTATGACCCAATACGTAGAGAACCAATGAATAGGCAATTTCTATCTCCAAATGTTAATTTAGCCGCTCGTGCATCAGTCCTTTCTACAGACAGTGATATAATTCCTTTAGGTAGAAAATATGGTTTAAATATACCAAGCGTAATCAATGAAACTGCTAGCGATTCACAATCAATATATTCAAATCCGGAACGTATTGCAAGTAATGGTATTCATGTTAGAACAATAGATTCAAGACGAAAAAAAAAAGTATCAAACGCAATTAATGAAACTGCTAGTGATTCACAATCAATATCATCAAACCAAGAAAGTGTTACCAGTAATAGTACTCATTCCAGAGTTAGCTCTCATTCCAGAGTTAGCTCTCATTCCAGAGTTAGCTCTCATTCCGGAGTTAGCTCTCATTCCGGAGTTAGCTCTCATTCTAAAGCTAGCTCTCATTCTAAAGCTAGCTCTCATTCTAAAGCTAGCTCTCATTCCGATGTTAGTACTCATTCCAGAGTAACTGATTCAAGACGAAAAAAAAAATTACCAAACATAATTAATGAAGCTGCTAGTGATTCACAATCAATATCATCAAATCAAGAAAGTATTAGGAGTAATAGTGCTTATTCCAGGGCTAGTACTCATTCCAAAGTAACTGATTCAAAATGGAAAAATACCGCTTCTAAACTCTCCTCGAGGGCTCGTAATAGTGTATCATCTTCTGATGATGATGAAAGACGAAGAATATCTACTATGTATGATAGTGATGATGTACCAATACAAATGACAAGAACAATAAGAAATCAGGCACGTTTAGGACAAAATACTCCTAACATGCGTTATGATTCATATCAAAATGGTTACTCTCGGAATGAACCAGGTTACGATTTGCGTTCAGGACCAATACCAAGACATGGTCTAAATGGTTATCGCGATCGCGAGGATTCAAATGGTCGATATTTACATGATGATTTACCACCTCCACCACGACATTACACTTCTCAATATCGTGATGATCGATATCCATTACATAACCCTAAACATATTCCGTATGATACGCCTCGTCAAAAATATACTTATCCACCACCTCCAGACCCTGCATTAAACCCCAATAAAAAAATACCATTAATCGAAATGGCTGGTTATCGTTATGATCAAACCAAACGCTCTGCGAACCAACTAAATCAACCATTTCTAACAAAAGATTCTCATCCTACGCAATTTTCACCAGAAGCCCCATATAGAGGTGGCTACATTCCAAGAGATCGTGGATATTTATCGCCGGAACGAGAATATCCACCACCTAAGGAAAGAGATGAATATAATGCTTCGGATCGAGGTTACGCTCCTCCACGATTCTATGATCGTGGTGATAGGCGTGAATATGATCATGAACGTGATGGATATGGTGGTGATAGGTATGATAGATATAATGATAGGTATAATGATAGGCTTAGTGATAGGTATAATGATAGGTATAATGATAGGCTTAATGATAGGTATAATGATAGGCTTAGTGATAGGTATAATGATAGGCTTAGTGATAGGTATAGTGACAGGTATTAGGATAGGTAAATGATAGACATAGAAATAGACATGCGTATAATTAATAATAATTTTGGTTTGTAAATAATTGTCTATTTATAACCTTATACGTATATATATTCATTTAAAAAGTTTTTAAAAACTAAAAACTAGGTTAAATCAATGTTGGCATTTAGACTATGTCCAATAAAAATTTTATTTGGACATGGACATATACTGTACGTATCGATGTTCAATGACTTTCTATCCGGAATATTTCGGAATAGTACGTAAGCATTCAATTTTTATTTGGACTAAATGTCCATGTCCATTGGTCGTAGCGGTATTGTCCATGTCTATATTCTGCCAACATTGTCCGTAATTGGCTGATTAATGTCGATTCCAAATGCAAAAAAATGAGAAGTTTTTCGGGCCAGAGTGGAGGAATTGCTTGCACTCGAATCCAATTTTATTAATTGAACGTAACAACCTTTAGTCAACTTTTTGGCTTCAAAGTCTGGAGAGTTGCTTTATTCGGTGGTTGCTTCTAATTGGTGAAAAAAATTTTCTCATAGAGACGTGAAATGCAAAAAAAAATACCAATAAAAGTTCTATTAAATTTATTTTAAACTTCTAAGATAATATGTACTACTCCGAACAACTTTTTATAGTTATATGAATATTTAATGTCACACTCAGTGATTATTTTTCGCTTTGTGGACTGTGCGCTTCACACAGAAACAAAATTTTGCCACATTTTCTTTTGAACAAATGTGCGGATGCCACACAGGAAAAAATTATCATTTTTTAAGTAGTGCGCAAGTTTTTCTTTATTTGCAGCACAGAAAAGTTTCCAAATTATGCGGTGTTCCACAGTAACTTTTAACAGAAAAATTAACACTGTCACACTAATTATGCAAATAAGTTAATTCTTC